TCATGACACGCTGCAGGAGGAAGCTTCTCCCTGCACATGTGGGCTGCACACAGGTGCAGCAGGTGCTAAATCCGTCCATTATCTTTACCCGCTTATTCCATTTTGGGTCACGGGGGTCGCCGGTGCCCATGTCCAGCAATCACTGTGCAAGGGGCGGGGTACACCCTGGACAGGTCGCAAGTCCATCACAGGGCCACATAGAGACAAACGAGACAAACAACCATTCACTCTCCCACTCACACCTAGGGACATTTTAGAGTTACCAATCAGCCTAACATGCATGTTTTTGGTCTGTGGGAGGAAACCGGAGTACCCGGAGAAAACCCACACATGCACGGAGAGAACATGCAAACTCCACCCAGAAGGCCCCTGGACCGGGGTTTGAACCAAGGACCTGCTCGCTGAGAGGCAGCAGCTCTACCAGTTGCACCACCGTGCTGCCCAGGTGCTAAATCATTTAAGATAATGTATTTATTCCATGTCGATCGTGTGTCTCATCCATAAATCAGCATATTGCGCCGCTCAAGGTGGCTGCATGTTGGAGCAGCTCTGTTACTTTCATTCTGAGATTTTGCTTTTGGAAACTTTAATTCCTGTTTTTCTGGATGTAAATCACATTTTTTGGATGATTGTTTCCTCTGGTATCAGACGCTGTGCAGCTGGAAGGATTTTTACTGAAACTTTTTTTGGTTTTGGACATTTGTTATGATGCATAACCATGGCAACAAGGCTGTTTTCTACAACCAACAGCAGCTGATTAACATCTCAAAAGCTCAAATAATATCTCAACTATGGCCCCAACTCTCAAATGAGTTGAAAAGGATGTTCTGTGGACGCATTCTCATCTACCTGCCAGCTGTGCTCGAGTGCCTGATCTCTGAGATCCTGGAACTAGCAGGAAACACGGCTCACAACAGCGGATAGACAGGATCGTCCCTCAGCACCTACAGTTGACTGTCCACAGCTATGAGGAGCTCGGCAGACTGCTGGGAGGAGTGGCCATCGCTCTGGGAGGAGTTCTGCCCAGCATTCAAGCGGTCCTACAGTCCAGGGGATCCGAGAGGCCAGCCGAGTCTGGGTGGACGGATCGGACGGCATCTGCAGCCAGTTTCTTAGGATCCACTGTGGGATGGACCTTTACAAGAGATCCTTTCCTGACTACAACCATCAGTATCTATAACATCTCTTAATGAAATGAGGATAACGAGTAACAACAACAAAATAATTTCCCTTTGGGATTAATAAAGTATTATTGAATTGAATTGAATTGAAATCAGCCCATTGTGTGTCATGTCCACTCTTACTTTGAAAAACAGCGAAAGCTCAAGTTTGTGAAAGTCGAACAGCGAAGTAGCGAGGTACTACTGTACTGTATTTCGACCCAAACTATTATACTGAGTCAGTTTCACTTTTTCAGAAGGGAAAGTTTGTAAGATGAGGTGTGTATATTACACGTGCACAAAAAAGAAGGAGGTCTAACATAGGTAATTTTCATATACAGTCTCTGGCAACACTGACTCAGGGCTTCAGCAAGATGCACGTGCATTTCCAGCATGAGAAACAAAGCAGTTACCTCCAAAATGGTGAACATAGGAACCTGCATTTGGACAGAGGATGTCGGGCTGCTCCTACATGTTGAAAACACAAACAGAACTTTGATGATACTGTTGTAAACATGGCATTAGAGATAAGATGAGGGGCATGAGCATACAGGAAGTGCTCAGAGCAGAGCCATTGCTCCTGTGCATTATAAGGAATCAGCTGAGGTGATTTGGTTATCGGATTAGAATGCCTCATAAACACCTCTCTGAATGTTTTCCGGACATGTTCCACTGAAAGAACACCGTGGGTCAGACCCAGAACTCTCTGGAGGGATTAAGTTTTTTTTGTTTGTTTGTTTGTTTGTTTGTTTGTTTCTGATGAGAAGTTGCTGGAGAATGGGATGTCTTGGGTTTCCCTCCTGGAACTGTTGCAGATGGACAGATGGACAGAGAGACAAATGGTCAAACAAAATGATTGGTTGGTTGATTTTTGAACAATGTTCTCTTTATGTTTTGCATTAAAACTCAATTTAAAAATAATTATGGGAATATATGTGTTCTTTTTACCTTTATGTGTTCATTTCAATTCAGTTTATTTATATAGCGCCAAATCACAACAAAGTTGTCTCAGGCACTTTACAGGAACATTCACATATATAAAAGCCAATTAGTAAAGTTCTCTATCTAAGGAAGCAGCAGATAAGTTGAATCTTGGCTTCGTTGTAGTCTCCCATCCTGAGCAAGCACAGTGGCAACAGTGGAAAGAAAAAACTCACTTTGAACAGGAAGAAACCTCCAGCAGAACCAGGGTCAGGACAAGAGGCCATCTGCTTTGACCGGCTGGTTGAGAGGACAGGAAGGAGAGACAGACGAACACAGAATGTTAGGTCCAGGTGTACCTGAAAGACAAAAACAAACCAAACAAAAAAACACATGTTAAGGATAAAAAAAAAATTACAAATGTTGAGCAGAGTAAGTAAAGACAGTAGCAGAGTGAAAAGTGTGGTCAGTTTGTCCTCCAGCAGTCTAAGCCTATATCAGCATAACTAAGGGACAGCTCAGGAAACCCAAGCTGACCCTAACTGTGTTGTGACATCAGTAAACAGAATCACTGAAATAGTAACAAATACGTATCATCTCACAAGAATTGCGCCGCTCAAGGTGGCTGCATGTTGGAGCAGCTCTGTTACTTTCATTCTGAGATTTTGATTTTGGAAACTTTAATTCCTGTTTTTCTGGATGTAAATCACATTTTTTGGATGATTGTTTCCTCTGGTATTGGATGTTGTGCAGATGGAAGGATTTTTACTGAAACTTTTTAAGTTTTGGACATTTGTTATGATGCGTAACCATGGCAACAAGGCAGTTTTCTACAACCAGCAGCAGCTGATTAACATCTCAAAAGCTCAAATAATATCTCAACTACAGCCCAAAACCTCAAATGAGTTGAAAGGGTGTTCTGTGGATGCATTCTCATCTACCTGCCAGCTGTGCTCGAGTGCCTGACCACTGAGATTCTGGAACTAGCAGGAAACACAGCTCATGACAGCGGAAGGACAGGATCGTCCATCAGCACCTACAGTTGGCTGTCCACAGCGATGAGGAGCTCAGCAGGCTGCTGGGAGGAGTGGCCATCGCTCTGGGAGGAGTTCTGCCCGGCATTCGGGTGGTCCTAAAGTCCGAGAGGCCAGCCGAGTCTGGGTGGATGGATTGGACAGCATCTTCAGCCAGTTTCTTAGGATCCACTATGGGATGGACCTTTACAAGAGATCCTTCCTGCTTACAGCCATCAGTGTCTATAACATCTCTTAATGAAATGAGAATAACGAGTTACAGCAACAAATAATTTCCCTTTGGGATTAATAAAGTATTTTTGAATTGAATTTGACTTGAATTTAAGACAAATTAATTTATGATACTTATAAATTATTCTGTGCTATTCTTTCATTAATATTTGTTTTATCTTTGTTATATATCCTAATAGTTATGGAGGATTTACGTAGCATGTGCCTGCATCCATTAAAGTTACAAATGAATAATATAAATTGTTAAATAAGGCATAAAATGAAATTCATGTGAGCTAAAAATCAGAAAACACCCCTGCTGCTGTATATCACTTTTAAGCAGATAATATTTCTGTGTGTGCCATTCTTGTTTCCATGGTGAAGAAATTACAGCCACGTTTACTGAGAGGATAAGAACCAATTGTCCTGATGTGCACTTGTAGCTTTAAACGCTGATAATAGCTACACTCTGGTCTAAAGTGTCAACGTGCAAAAACATACGATTTTTACTTCCTGTCAGTAATTTGTTTCTTTTCTTTTTGTGTTTTTAGCAAACCCTCTGCTCATTAATTCATCCATGCAGCCCGACCTGACGGTGTCGCGAACGTACACCAGCCCCATGTGTTTCCAGGACTCCATTGACAAGGAGATAATGGCTGAGCACTCACTACTCAACCCGCTGCCTGATCTGAAGGCCAAAGGTCAGAAAACAGAACTATTCAAAAACCCATGTGTATTTATGTGGTAATAATTTCTATTCAGAAGGATAGGATGTATGAAGCACTTTACTGCAAAGTCTGAAGGATAATGTTTCTTACTTTGAAAGGTTTTCTCTGAATAAAACCTTTTATAAAAAATTTAAATAATTTACAATCCTTGTTCCTGTGCGGTAGCTTGATGGTCAGGGTCTTGTAATACTGAGGTTGTGGGTTCAAGTCCAGGTTGCATTAGGAAGAGCATCCAGTGGAAAACAAATCTTTCATATGAGTGTGCTTGCTGTGGTAACCCCTGAAGAAGGGAGCAGTCGAAAGAAACTTACTTAAAATCATTGATCCTCTTTTATAATGTTACTACATTTGTATATGCTGGGTTTTTTATATATATGGGACATAAATCTCACCTGCTGCTGAAATGCAGATGCAGAAGATAATGTTTTTGTTTGTGTGTGTTAGCAAAATGTCTCATGAAGCACCAGACAAATTTAAAGGAAAGCTACAGAAAGTAATCATTGGTTTCATATTTAAAACTTGTTTACTTTTGGAGTCAGTCTCATGTGGATGTAGCTGACTCATTCACAGCACATAGTGTAAGACTGAAATTGTACATAAAGTTTATTTTTTTAATTTTTGCAATGCAAGTGATCACAAACCATTAACAGAAAATTATCAAAACTCTGGCATGATAGGCAGTAGAGCTGTCATTTCTAACCCGGAGCCCGGCCCCGCCCCCGCCCCACCCAGATTCAGGCCAGGCCGGCCCATAATAATGTGCTTAATGTGAGAGCTGGGTGGGTCGTTGTCGGGCCTTTGTTTGCGTCAGCGGACACTCGCGGCTGACGATCCAATTATATGGCAACATGGCTTGCCATTTACTACCATTCGCACGCGTCCATTACACCGCGCTGTTCGGTCTTGAAAGAGGTAAAAAGTTCAGTTAAGCTTCAGATGGGATTATACTGCCAGGAAGCGATCCATCGCCTAAATGGATGTTCATTCAGCCGCTGCACTCAGCGGACGCACGCGGACCCAAACAGGTGAGATCACAAGATATCCGGCATGTCAGAGCAGGGTCTGTGTATGAATAATGCAGAATGCAGCAGAAGCAGGAATTTAATGTGCTTTGACGGACATGAACGGACAAACACCCCCTCAGCTCCGATCTTTTGTCCCCTTAGCCACACGCATCCATCGATTGTTAATAACTATATGAGCAGTCAAAGCTTAATTACAATGTCGGGGGTGGTGGGGGGGGTCGGACCTCTAATTACTGCTAATTTGTTGGGTCGGGTGAGTTTCGAAAATGATGGCTACAGGCTGGGGCCGAGTCAGGTCGGATTTTTTGGGCCTGAATGAAACTCTACTAGGCAGTGGGCAATATGTACAGGTATTCCATCAAAGAAAGAAAGGCTTCAAACGTCTTAATTTTTTATAATTACAGGGAATTTTATTGTAATTTAAACAAGATTTAGAGAAAGATTCACAATCCACACTGTAATCTGGTAACCTTTGCAGAATAATTGTGACTTTTATGTTGCAAAACTTCCAAGACAAAATGAGCACATATGGGTTTCATTAAGGTTCTTATTTAAAGATAATGTGACAGTGTGCTTGTTTCAGGTGTTGCCATCCCTACAAACAAAGCAGTTTGAGTACTGGCTGTTCTCATTTTTGTTGTTGGAACGAGCTGCCAAACACTATGAGAGCAGCAAGCTCCCTCTCTGCCTTCAAGAATCTCTTGAAAACTCTTCTTCTCCAAAAACACTTTCTCTCCTAACACCGCTAACACTCTAATGCACCTCTCTCTCACACAGTTCTCCTACTTGTTTTGTCCTTTGAATAGGAGGCACATAAAAGAGACATATTAGGTCCATTTTTCACAAGTTGACACAAATTCCCAAGGTCTTAAATGCCTGTGACATGCTTTAAAGCAGATGCAACAGGGTAACGATGCCACTGTTTTACTCCTTCCTTCTTTTATTGCACCCTGCTCTTAAGACCACGGTGATCCACTTCATTGTTCTCTTCTGCAGGGTGCACTTCTCGCTATGCATCTGTAAATGTGGGCACAGATTTCAAGTAATGAACCTTGAAACACATTATCACTGCAGAAAATGTAAAAAGTGTTTATTAAAAGGTCACACTCACACAAGACCATGGCATTACATGAAAAGAACTGATGAAAGAAAAATCTTCAAACAGTTAATTTTATTTTTTGAGAGTCTCAGGCTTGTCTCATCTTCAGTTCAGCTACGTTGATATGAGCTGAGAAAACATGGCGCCACAAAGACATCTGGAATCTGTGTGAAAAGCACATCATGTTTCTTGTCACACATCAGCCCCATAAAGCTTGGGCTTCACTGTCAGGACACTCTTCTGTATTTGAAGCTGTTAAGAATTGTTGTTAATGTGGGCCGTTTCTACAAATATTTACCGTTTGTTGTTTAGTTTGAATTACCCGCTGCTGAAAAGACAAGGTGGGAAATAATGTTTTTGCCCACATCTGTGTTTGTGTGTCTGTCTTAAGTCATATTCACATGGGATTAGTTTTACCTAAGGACCAGTGTAATCTACCCAACGTCTGCTTTTTATGTAGCGCATTTGCACGGTTTAACCAAAGTCTGAGATTTAGCTGAAATTTATAGACATCTTCCGGTTATGATGTTAATGTGCTGCATTGTTAACGACCAGGCGGGTCCATATAATGTATTTAATGTGCGGTCCCGGACGGTCTCGGGCTTTGATGTGGTTTTACGAATCAGCACAAAGAAAATTAAAGAATGCAGAATATAAAATAGTTTTAATCTACTTGTTGAGTAGGAGGCAGGTCCGACCGGCTGATTTAAGAGATAAAAAAATCCACGTTCAGCCAGATGGTCAGCTGTCACCGGCCTTGTGCATGAGTGGCCGGTGACAGCTGACCCACCGGTTGAAATTAATTTACGACCTGTCCAGGGTGTCCCCCACCTTTCGCACAGTGATGGACCTGTGACTTCCGCTAACCGAAAAGGAATAAGCGGGTATGGTGATCACGCGCTCGTCTCCACACCTCCCGTCATCTGCGGTGAAGGAAGTAGCAGTTCATAAAAGCCGAAGCGAAAAATAAAAATACATTAAAAAATTTAAAAATACATTTTTAAAAGCCGAAGTGAGCTGCGGGTTAATTTAAAATAGCCTTGTTCTATATTTTTCCAAATGATTTTGCTTAAGCAAAAACAAAAAACGTCTCATTACGTATCGGATTCTGCGCATTTCTGTCTAAATCACAGAGATGCCTATTCGCATTGGATTAGTTTTATCACAGGGCCTTGGAGTTCAGCAAAAAAAAAATATATAGTAGGTAATGTGCGGGGGAATTTTCACTTTACAAATAACTGACATGGTTGATTCGCACTGGATTAACAACACAGACAATCTCTGTAATTATTACAAGTAGCATGTGGTCCCTAGGTAAAACTAATCCCATTCGAATAGGGCTTTAGCCAATTAAGTGCAAAAAACAAAAAACAAAAAAACTGCAACAAACAATTTATTGAAACTTGCAGTAAATAATTATGTGGTGCACATTTACGGTTGACTACCTTCTGGAGTCAGCTCCACTGCCACAGTCAACTGAATTTAAAAACACAGAAACAAAAATAACATTTGATTTAACAAATTTTAAATGAAAATTTTGTGTGGCCGTAGCTGACGCTAGTTCCTAAAATGTTTGAGCGCTAACAAACTGTACAAGATTTTTTTTATTTTACCTTTAACTATTGGAATACCGTAACTCTGTCTGTCTGTTAGCAAAATGCCTCACTGATGGCCAATTGTTTAATGAAATTCCCATAAAGTGTAATGCTGGTTAAGATTCTTAGTCCTCTGGGACATGGTAAACCATAAGACCTGAGAACAGAGGAGGCCTCAGAAGTGTTCTTCTGTTCTAAGTGCAAGAATGCTGTCGTTCAAGTCCTGTCAAAGAAAACTTTCTGTCACCATTTAGGACAGACAATAAAGTTATTCTATTCTATTCTATTCTATTCTATTAGTAGTGTGCAAGAGAGGTGGGGGGACTACTAATTGACATTAACCTACACAAAAATGGCTGTAACTTTGTCAGTTTCACAGATATCAAGCTAAAATTGGATGTGATAGTAGTTGAGTCATATCTAACTCTTCTCATACAATACTGTGCATAACAATATTCTTAAATGATATAAATCACTTTTAATTCTAATAAATCAGAGAAATGGACGCCTTCCACACCAAGCCTAAACAAGAATATATATTTTTTTTATTTTATTTGTGTAAAATAAAACATACAGGTACACAACTTTCAGCATTGTACTTCTGATTTGATTTGAAGTAATAATTCTGAAATAATCCAGATTAACACAGTTAAATGTGTGTGTGTGGGGGGGGGGGGGGGGGGGTAGTTCAGTGAAGTAACCTTATTGTAAGGTTACTTATACTGTAAGTAACCTTATTTTCTTTATTAAAAGTAAATTTGATTTTACAACCTGGCCTCCAAGTCCTGCCTGCACCATTGGGTTATTTCCTGTCCTGCCTTGCCTGAAAACCTTGATACTTTGTTGTTGATTTTTTTTCGTGTTTTTTGTTGTTGTTGTTGTTTGGGTGCGGCTTTACTCAGCTCACATCAAATCAGCATCGGCCAAATGGGCTTCCATTACCTGCTCCTGCTTGATTTTTGGAACTGCCTTAGCCGTGGTTCCAAGCGAGCCAAGCCGAGCAAACAATTTTGATGTCAGCAAACTGCAGCTGTTGATTGACCCATGGACTGACGTCACTGTATGAGCTAAGGTGATAGAGTTGCATTCAGGCCAAAAAAATACGACTCGAGCTGGCCCCAGCCCATTGCCATTTTTTCTGAACGCAACCCAATCATTTAACTGTAATTACAGGCCAAACCCAATATATATATATATATATATATATATATATATACAAAATTGTATATACGTATATATATATATATATATATATATATATACATATATATATATATATATATTTTTTTTTTATTATTATTATGCTTTTACTGCTTTTGTAAGCAAATCAGTTTGACATGATATTTTTAATATGTATTTCAAAGAATGGAAGATATAAGATTTTTTTGTTTCATCAACTGAATATTAACATACAAATCAAATAACCTTAAACAAATCAACTGTAAAGACAGACTATTGTACAGATGAACAAAAATATGTTTAGAGCTAAATTATTTGGAAAAATATAGAACAAGGTTATTTTAATTGAATGCGCTGCTCGCTTTGGGTTTTATAAATGCTGCTACTTCCTTCACCGCAGATGACAGCAGGTGCGAAGATGCATGCGGCCGGTAATCAGCTGATTGATCTATCTGAAGCTTAACTGGACTCCATTTTTTGTACCTCTTTAAACCGGCCAGTCAGACCTGTCTCCTCCTCAACAAGTAGATTAACACAATTTTATTTTGTGCATTCTTATTTAGTTTTCTTTGTGCTCTATGATTCGTAAAACTGTATCAAAAGCCCGAGACCGACCCAGCCTGCCCATCAAGCATTTTATTTTGGCCCGGGTTGAGCCATGCCCAGATTAGAAATTGCATTTCTATAAGGCGTTCTCAGTCGTTGAGTGTACATGTACAATACTGAGATGGAGAGCCGCAAATCACATGTTATTCCATGGTCGAATGATGAGGTGCAAACCTTTTAATCAATTTTGTCAGACAAGCACACACAATGTGAGCTCAACGAAGCAATGAGGAACAAGTGACTTTATGGCGAGATGTCAGAGAAATTGGTTGCCCACCGCTACACTCGCACTTATAAACAGTGCTGTGACAAGTTTTAAAAAATGAAGTCCGACTACCGGACGATAAAAGATCACAACAAGAACAGAGCTCCTGCCCAAGTTGAGTGAATGACACACTCTCAGTGGAGACGCCTACAGTTGGGTAAAACGAAATAGAAAAGAAGCTATTAGAGTGGTACTGTACTTAACAATGGAGAAGCAGCTTAAATTTATGACAGTCATGCATGTTGGGCTGATTGGTAACTCTAAATTGTCCCTAGGTGTGAGAGAGAGTGAATGGTTGTCTTGTTTGTCTCGATGTTTCTCTGTGATGGATTTGCGACCTGTCCTGGGTGTCCCTTGACCCTCTTGCACAGCAACTGCTGTATATGGGCACCAGGGACCCACACAACCTGAAAAAGAGGAAGTGGGTAAAAGATAATGGATGGATTTTATTCAGTTGTATGTGTTCAACTTAATGAGGTATGGATCGCGTGATTGCCAGATCCAAATCTTGTTTAACAAGAAAAAGTCTAAAATCCTCTTCTGTGGTCAACATTAATCTAGGAAGCAGCTGTGGCTGAGTGGTTAGAGCAGTCAACCTCCAATGTGAGAGTTGGGGGTTCAATTCCAGCAGCAGTCACATGTTGAAGTGTCCCTGGGCAAGACACTGAACCCCTCATTGCCTCCAATGTGTGTCCCATCAGTGTATGAATGTGACAAAGCACTGATTAGTCTTTGTACAGATATAGCAGAGTGTTGTATGAATGGGTAAATGAGGCATAGATTGGAAAGAGCTTTGAGTATCTTGATAAGATAGAAGGTGCTATATAAGTACAGTCCATTTACCAATTACCATTATTCTCATATGAGTTGGATGGTAAAAGCAGTGCTAGTAGCACCTCAAAAGTACATGGAATAAAAATTAACTCTAGAACATGCCTAAATATTTAAAGTTTTAAGCGAGAAACAAATGGTTCACTGTTTGCTTTACTGGGAGAGAGATAACTAAGCATTACATTTTTGTGGGGTTCAGGTGTGGATGAAGGACCATCAGATTAAAAACATGTCATGACCAGCCTAACTAATCTCCAGACTTGAATTCCATTGGAAACCTCTGAAATGTAATCAGGAGGACGCTATGTGGTCACAAGCCATCAAACAGCGGAGCTGATTAAATTGTTGCACCAGGAGTGGCAAAAAGTCACTGCAGCAAAGTGAAAGACTTGAGGCGAGCATGCCAAAACATGATTAAAAGTCGGGGTTGTTTTTGATCTCTTTCTAAGTTAAAACATTAGTATTATTATATCTAAATCCAAATCCGTGGTCCGTGATAATAGCAGGGGTCATACACAGGGTCACAGGGAGCAGAAGACTGAGCCAAACCGAGATCCGATGTCATGGTCGTTAGGAAAGTCACAGAGTCAAAAACCGTGGTCAGAAAGGCAAATGCAATCCAAAGGGACAGGCAAGGCGAGGAGTCAAAAATACAGGCAAGGGTTCAAGGCGCTGATAAAAAGCTATGGAACAAGATACTATGATGAAAGGCTTCACTACCAGGGACCATGAGTGGTGTAATAATTCAGCACTGGTGGAGAGTGAGAATGGAGCTTATAAAGGTGCAGAGCAGGTGAACGAGATGAGAGCTGAACAGGTGAGTGGAATCAGGGCTGACTGCTGTGAGAAACAAGGGAGGCGTGGCATGGCTAGGAAGGACTAGGCTTGAGCTGGAGATGGGTGATAGATATTACAAAGCAGGGAAGAGAAACCATGGCATGAGGGGCTGAAACAATAGCAGGAGGGAGTGAGTGTGAAACAGGGGCCGATGGGGGGTCAGCAGGGGCCACTGACCGTGACAGTATCTTGATTAAATAGAAAGGTGCTATATAAGTACAGTCCATTTACCATATAAAGTCCTGGAGTTGAGTTTTGACACCTGAAAAAAAGCTCACTTTATGACAGAAAACTGTGGTTATAGCTCTGAATATCCAGGTCTTAAAACCATGCCATTGATATTGTAAAGGAAATGTATTTTAAAAAGTTAAATGGTTTGTACTTTAATAGTGCTTTTCTATCTTGTCAAGATACTCAAATTTCTTTACAACACAATCTGTGTCCTCATTTACCCATTCATACAGCACTACTAGATCTCTACAAAGAATAATCAGAGCTTTATCACATTCATACACTGATGGGACACACATCAGTGGCAATGAGGGTTCAGAGTCTTGCCCAGGGACACTTCGGCATGTGACTGCTGATGGAATTGAACCCCCAACTCTTGTATTGTAGGACGACTGCTCTAACCACTCAGCCACAGCTGCCCCTAATTAAACAGGTACAAATCTGCCTATTTTCATCACAAACATGTATTACAGTAGATTCAATCTTAAACATAGAGGCAGCTGCAAGGTGGGTGCACAGTGGGCTGAGGCAGGTATGATGTAAGCCGAGGCTGGCACTAAAATAATACGCACAGTCCAGAAATAGTTTTATCAACTGTGCACATAAAAATCGGGCATGTTTTTCAAAAATTGTTTGCTCAACACACAGCCACATGGCTCGTTGGTCACTTGGTGGCAAACCCTCAGAACTATTTCTTGCCACTTTCTTTTAGTCACCAACGTCTAACGGTCGGAGCCCAGTGAGATACAACTCTTGGCAGGTGGCTCCTTGACAAGAAGATTTTTGTAGCCATCAACAAGTTTCTGATGTAACTCTGGCTGGATATGTGACCACTCCGCTTGGCAGAATTGAAAGAGTTCATTTAAATTGCTCGAGTTCCTGACACGGACCTAACTTTTAATCACAGTGCACAATTTTTTAATGGGAATTCATAAAGCAGAGGGGGTGACAGCAGGTGGCTACATCAGCCTATTTCACTTTTTACATCATTTAGAAGTTGTGGGAATAATAACAACAGAAGATTTCAGAGCATTTTGATGTTATTGCACTGTGGCTTCACTTTTAACACCAAATGACTGAGTTTTATATGCAGCCTGCCTATTTCACTCAGCCCCAGATGTTAAACTACCCCAAATATACACAATACAAGTATATCTGCAGTTTGCTACAATAAACAGTGTGAAAGCTTTTTTTATACAGTCATCCAGATGATGTTTCAATGTTGTCTGTGAGGTTTTAGCTCGCAATCATCCCTTTGTATGTCTTTTTTTTTTTTGAAGCTGTAAAAACCCAAGATGGGAACAGCTAAAGGTTGAATCTAAAAAGTGCAGTCTACTCAAAGGATCTTTTTCATTCGGCAGATTTAAGGGAAACTCTACCCTCCAAGCTGTTTAAATGCAAAGTGTTGCTCTTTCTTGTAGCCTCAGGCTCATTGTTTTAGCTGGAGGCGAGAGCCTTGACGGAGGCAGGCTTGCTGCAGTTTCAGTCACTGTTCTGAGGTAGACTTCAATGAAGTCAGTTTAAAACTGACTTGTTGGGCCAAAAACACATTCCACAATGTAAACAAATGCTGCTTTCCTGCTGTTGCTTGTTTTCTCATTGTAAAGTGTAGAACTGTTAAAACGTAATGCCAAAGTTTATAAAAATCACATTGAAGTGCTGCCACTAAATTTCAGAGCTTTCATTTTGTCTAGGGATGGCAGAAAGGGCAGAGTACCACATCATGTCCCACCCTCAGACATTTCCACGGGGCCTCGCTCCAGACTACAGAGAGGTTCCTGTAGGGACAACACTGGGCCGAAGAGGCAGAAACCTTTTCACTCAGCAAGCCTTTCAGCCTCACAGCAGGCCTCTGAACAAAGCAACCGCGGTGTTTGGCCACGCTGGAGGCAGGCTGGTGGTGCCAAACACAGGTGAGCCAACAGTGACACAACCAGATTTGATACGATACTTCTGTGAGAGTAAACTTCAGTTTTTCCAACATAAAACTAGACAACAGATCTGTAACTGAGCACACTGAAATTCCAGCACAATAGATAATAGATGTCAAGGTTTTTTAAGTTTCAATGACGTTACTCATTCATCAAGAGGACTTGTTTTACTAGGATAAAAGTACAGAAATTAGTTCTTACTGCATTAGACAATCATTTTGATGTTTCATCTCCTAAATTTAAAACAAACTATCATTTTGGTAACACTTGTTTTAGGGAACATAAATTAATCTTTTAACTAGGTGCTTATAAACAATGTCATAATAGGTAATTACTATTCTGAATGACCCAGTTTAACAATAAATATGTTATTATTTTCAAGATTTTTATGTTTTGATTTTTTGTCTATTGATATCCAACATATAACACAAGATGTCACAAAGGTGCAGGACTTGAAGTACTTGAGGTCCACTCTCCAGGAAAAAGGAAAGTGTGGTAAAGAGGTGAAAAAGAGAGTCCAGGCAGGATGGAGTGGATGAAGAAAAGTTTTAGGAGTGATTTGTGACAAGAGGGTGTCAGCAAAGGTCAAAGGAGAAGTTTACAAGACAGTGGTGAGACCAGCTATGTTGTATGGTCTGGAGAGAGAGACGTGGACAAAAAGACAGGAGACAGAACTGGAAGTGGGAGAAATGAAGATGTTGAGGTTCTCCTTAGGAGTGACAAGGATGGATACGATTAGGAATGAGATCATCAGAGGTACAGCACAGGTTGAACAACTGGGAGATAAAGTTAGAGAGACCAGACTGAGATGGTTTGGACATGTCCAGAGGAGGGACAGTGTGTCTATTGGCAGAACGATGTTAGAAATGCAGCTGCCAGGAAAAAGACAAAGAAGAGATATATGGATGTAGTTAGAGAGGACATGGAGGTAGTTGGAGTGAGGACAGAGGATGCAGAGGACAGAGATGGAGGAGGATGACTCTCTGTGGAGACCCTGAAGAAGGAAAAGCTGAAAGAAACAAGAAGAAGTTAGCAAACATAAAGGCTGTTGCTCACTGCTTTAAGCAAAGTAGTGAGTATGTTTTTTTGCTTCTGTCTGTTTGTTTGTAGCATTAGCAAAACATTTTATGATCCACTGGTCAGATTTGATAAAAACTCACAAGAAGTAATCACTGGGCGTACATCTAAAACTGATTAAAATTTACAGTCAACCACATTCAAAATGTCTGCTGCTACACACCCTTATGAAACACAAGAATGGTGATAACTTTACTGTCATTGACCTACAGTGTTGTGCAGTAGTGGCTGACAGTCATTCCCAACACACCATCTGTGCACTAACTGAATATGCAAGGTCTGCTTTTTACACTTTACCATTAATTAATATCTTTTGTGTCGGTCTATTAGCAAAACATCTCATGAACCGCTGGACAGAATTGAGTAGAACTTTTTAAAAGTAATCATTTTTTGAGTCAATTCATATCAAGAATGTTGCCACAGCTAGTCAACAATAGCTATCACAAAAATGGTCTTCCATCTTCTGGTTTTTTTTCCCCAGTCACACGTGACTATCTGCTGTAGTCACTGTGCGCGAGGTGGGGGACACCCTGGACAGGTTTCCAGTCCATCACAGAGACACATGGGGACAAACATTCACACTCTCATTCACACTGAGACACTTTAAAGTTGTCAGTTGACCTACGATGCATGTTTTTGGTCTGTGGGAGGAAACTGGAGTACCCAGAGAAAACCCACATGTGCATGAGGAGAACATACAAACTCCACACTTAAAGACCACAGGCGGGAGGTGAACCTGCAACCTTTTTGTTGAGATACAATTGTTCTAACCTCTTCTCATGGTGCTACCCCAAGATTAGCTTTAACTTAGCCACTTTTTCAGATAATAAGCTAATTCTTGATGTGGTATCAGCTAAAAGTCATTCACAACACATATGTATAATGTGTCAAGTTACATTAGATCATGCATAACAGGTTGTTGTTTTTTTAAAGATCAATGTGGCTACAACTCATTCATTTTTCAGCATGAAATATTTTTGGTCTAACACTCTGCCTTCTTTCAAAGAACGCCTTTAATTCATAATGTTTGAATATTTTTTAACTCTTGAAGTTGGATTTTTTGGTACATGACAACATGCATGTACAGTAGTCCCTCCATTATCGCGTGGGTTACGTTCCAAACACCCCCGCGAACGTGAAAATCAGCGAAGTAGGGATGTTATATTTATATATATATATATATATAAAGGCTTTATAAACCCTTCCCACACTGTTGTGATGTTCTTAATAATGTTCTAAACTCAAACCTACGTAATTTTAACAACATACAAATATGTACTGTACAGTACTGCAACACTTTATTTGTGTACTCACCAGTGAAGATATAACTTGAAGGATGAGTTCAGGTTCAGGATTATTTGTGACTTCCTGCCAGTTCTGTGAGCTTTCTAGATACATCGTTATTTTTGACTTTTCATTGCAAAACTATTTTTACCACATCGGTTTCTTTGCTGGTGTTTGCTCCCTCCATTGCTGTTCTTTGAATTTTTTCAGAAAGCTGCAGGCAGAAGCACTGTTGGTTTCTGGGCCGTGTAGTTCTTTTGACTTGTGTTACAGTATAGGCTTATTGAAAGGAAACTACAAAATGGTGGTGCCTGTCCAAAGTTGTTTTTGTTTGTTTGTTGTTTTTTGTCCTGTTGGTTAATTCCCGCTCCCGTTCGCTCCTGTTAAAGTTTTATCCCGTCATACATTGAAAAGCTTTCAAAGAGCGAATCCGCGAATGTTGAACCGCAAAGCATCGAGGAGTATTATGTGTTCTTAAGGCAGAAAATTATTGTTGTTTTCCTACCTTATGAGGCATATACTGAGCAGAGCTTCTTAAAGTCATGGCTGAAAGGCAACAACTTTTTTTTGTTTCCTAATAATAGATTTAAATTAGTTAATTATTTCAAAGCTAATAATAACATCCCATTCATAGTCGAACTGGGTCATACAGACTGAGCCATTAATAAATGCTAAAACTAATATGTTACTAATTTCATCGTCTTTAGCAACCCATTCGTGTTCCCTACCAAAAGTGGGACCAAATATTCAGCTCAGACAACTGACTGTTTAACATAGCGTAGGATAAATTGTAGTATAGTTTGATGTCCACCTCTCCTGCTCAGATTTCCTGCATTATTCAGGCAGCTTCTTCTCAGGGCCAACATTCATCATCCTGTCCCTAAAGGAGCTTTATCCACTCCCAGATTGGTGGTAATTGTTTATGATACTGCACAACATCGCCTATGATTATGTGTTCTCGTGTTCAAAAAGGAGAAAGTCTGTGTGTGTATATGTGTGTGTGTGGGGGGGGGGGAGACAAAAAGAGAGCTGGCAGCTATGATTCACAAGACCTCTGAGACTTGCTTCTGTCACCTCTTTCTGGGGCCATCACCCCTCTGGCTGTCAACCTCAGTAAAGAGACCTGACAGCTGAGCAGGTGTGTGCCATGTGTGTGCATGTCGAGCCGTGCACTGATCAGCTTTCACACACCTCTTTCCTCTGCAGGTATCAGTCTGTTGGTGCCTCATGGGGGGATCGCAGAAGACACTACCTGGGAAATGTACATGAGCATCAACCAGGAGGACAGCAGGTGAGGGACTCCTTCACTAGTCTGCTTTGTAGACTGCTCTCTTTTAATCCTGCAGCCCCTCGTGATGCATCTCTCATCCATCTTCCCATGACACCGTCTGCTCTTTTCGCTGCCAAACAAACGCCGCAAACATACAATGATAAACACGGGCCTCCTCTTATGATGCCCACAAAGTGACATGTAATGTACATATTCGTGCTTGCAGATGCTCATGTTCCCACCCAGCACGCTGCCTTTTATCATCTTGCAAACACCACAGGGGAGGACATGGTGTGTCACAAACACATCGGCAGCTGCAGACAGATTGCATTGCTGCCTTAAGCAACCATCTCAGTGGAGGAAGATACACTTCACCACTATGCTAGTCTGTTTTGTGTTTGTAGACATGACTGTGACAGTATCGCTTTCCATCTTGACTGGTTAGAGGAGTAAATATTGTGAACTGTGTGAAGTTATAATGAAAGGTAATATCTGGGTTTTGGTCAAATGGAGTCTGTCTCGGCAACTCTGTTCTCACAAAGCTCCGGCTTAAGGAGGAAATGTCTTGATAGATAAACCCCGTTTGAAAAAAAAACTAATCCAATGCCTGGGACTTCCTTCAACACAGCCTCCAAAGATATCTGACAATTACATGTCAGGTTTTTTTTTTTTAAGTTTTGGCAGGTTTTTGATTTAATGCAGGCAAAATCACAATGTCAGCATGTTCCTGTTGAATTGTGAGATATCTTAACACAACCAACTGCTAGTGCTTCTCAATAAAGTTGGATTTCTAAAGGAAAATCAAAAGTGACATTTTGTGCCATGTAAAATTTAACCTGTCATCTCACAACGCTTCCACCCTTCACCCACTAGAGCCTGGGGTCATGGGGGAGGGTGGGCTATCCAAGGTCATATGTAGTCTCAGAGCTCAGTTAGTGGGCTAGTTGCACACTCCTGTGCCTTAAGTCTTTCCTGTTCAGCCGAACTGTTGCCCTCTGAGCTGCTGCTTTGCTCTGATAAGCCTGATGCTGTTTACTTTCCTGGCTGTCGTTTAAGTAGCTGCAGGATCCGTGCGCCACAGAGCTGTCAGTCAAAGCCTATCTTCTGACAGCCGCAGAGTCCAGGGGAGAAATTGGATCTTTTCTTCTTATTCAAACCCCGGCCATCTACATAAGACGTCGGTTTCCTCAGCAAAGAAAGGAAATCGATCAGCTCTGGCTCAGTTTCAGGTGCTCACATGAGCTTTCGGGTGTCCTCTAGGCATCAAGAAGTTGTTTATTTTGTGAACTTCTCTAGCTCTGCATGGAGGCACAAGGTTGTCCAAGGACAAAGACTTGGTGGGTGACAAAATACATGTAAAAGGAAGTGACTCAGAAAACTCATTAAACACGTTGAATGGTGTTTTTTCTTATTTCCCGAACATATTTGGAAAATAAAAAAATTAATCTACTCTCAGTTCAGCCAGTTCAAGCTGAGGGCTTGACTGCTTGTTGCTTGTTGTGAGTTTCACCAACTATTCTCAGTTATATTCCTTAAAAGTTGCTCACATGAGGCACACTTTTCATTTTCCTGTTTAAAACTTTTAAATGTTTTTCTAGGCTCTGTAGGTCTAAGAGACTTCACAGTAGAAACATAATTGAAGGTATGAACAGGTCCAAAATGTTGGACTTAACATGTCTGAACTGGCATTTTGATTTATTTTATGTTTTTTACAGAGTTCAAGCTTGGTGGGTTTTACAGGTTTTTCACTAAATATTCAACTGACAGTTGATGAAATCACACACTAAATCTTGAGCTGACTAAAATGTTCAAATCTTTTGCCAATAAACTTACTACCACAACTCCTTGTTTTTTTTTATATAAATTATACATTAAGACATAAACAGATTTTTTTTTTTGCACTTACTGCGTTGTGCTTCTGACTGATAGCACTTTCAGTTTTCTCTCACATCTCCAAAAAATGCCGAGGTTGTTCACCAAAGTTTTTGTTGTGTTTAAGATCAAACATCATTCAAACTTCATGCATTCAACAAATATAGAAGTATTTGAGTTGACAGTATTGTCACCAAATACTGACCTTTGTTCACATCCAGTAGGGACATCAACACATGGATATCAGTTTTAGATGAGATTGTCTACCATATGAATGAATGCATTTTTAATGCATCTTAACTTTAGTGATTTTTTTTTCTCAGCATTTTTGAAAAAAAAAAAAAAAAAAACACCTGTCCGCATACAAATCCTAGAGACCACACATATGTCATCTTTCTAACCTCTCTAGGTTCTGCAAAGCTCTACAATGTCTCTAGTTTACCCCCACACACTTATACAGTGCTTTGTGTTGTTTCACACTCTACATTTTTTATTTTTTTTAGCATACACCAATAAATCTCTTGAAGGCAGTGGGGGGATCAAGGACATTGTGGCAACCTAAAGAAACTGGGGAGCAGTTGACTGATCTGGGGATGCAGTAGAAGTGGTCTCCAGCTACAAGTACTTGGGTGTGCATGACAACCTCAGCTGGAGCAACAAAACTACCAGTCTGATCAAGAAAGCTCATCAGAGACTCTACTTCCTCAGGCGGCTGAGACGAGCTGGTCTGGAAGCTCAGTCCTCGCCTCCTTCTACAGGTGTGCAGTGGAGAGCATCCTGTGCTCCAGCATCAACGTGTGGCATGGAGGCTGCACAGCTGCAGAAAGAAAAGCTTTGCAGAGAGTGGTGAAGGCTGCACAAATGTTGGAGTCAGTCTCCCCACTATCACAGACATCCACACAGGAAGAAGGCCACCTGCATCATGAAGGACTCCACTCACCCAGCACACACTTTTTGCCTTGCTCCCCTCAGGAAGGAGGTTGAGGAGCATTAAGTGTAGAACTATTAGACTGAGGAACAGCTTCTACCCTGAAACTGTTAGACTCATGAATTTCTAACCAGGATAATCACTTAATTCCACTTTAATTGGAAATTTGACACTTTGTGCTGCTGATTATCCATGCTGTTGATTTCTTGCCTTTAAGTTGCTACATTCAGACCCATCTGCTCATGTTCAGGCTGCTGTTTAATACACCATATTGTTTAGCTTATATATCACATCCTTGTATACAGTTTCTTCTTTTTTTAAATATACTTTATATTATTGCTATTTTTGGGGTGTAATTGGGACCTTGAGTACACAGTTTCATTCCACCTCATGTACCACATGTGACTAGAATGACAATAAAGTACCTTGAACCTTGAACCTTGAACCTTGATCGAACCCTTGATTCTCTGGCCGGAATGTGCCCTCTCTGTTCATCAGTTTATCATTAGCTCTGTGTCTGTGGGACTGTGGGACTTCTGGCTTAAAACGACTTTGTTCTTCCCTTACTGATGAGAGCAGCTCTGAAAGTACGGAGGGTGATCCGTACAGGCAACACTGCAAAAACCAATCAATTTATAGAGATTAAAATGCTTTAGCAGAGCTGAGATTAAGAGCAGAGGAAGATGATGATTCTCTGAGGGTTTGTCACTACATCTTTCTTTGCATGCGTTATCACAAGACACATTGTTCCTGAAGAAGTATCGATTCTTTTCACCCTCAAAGTTTTCACATTAGTAACAAATCATATCTGTTTTAAAAGCACAAGGTGTGCAGCACATTCATTAAAATTAAAATAATTAAATATTTTGCAGACAGTAGCATGTTTGTGATCTTTTCCGAGTGTCTCCAGTAAGGTGAAGTATTTTAGTGTGTTGTTGATTTCCAATAATTAGTGTAGATGACATAAACAAAAACTGTCTGGTTTTGTTTTGTAAAAAAAAAATTGTCTGGTCTTTTAAGATAATTTCGTCAAACTGTACCTTTGTAGCTTTGGTTGTGAGAAAGGGCCAGTTGTCACAGGTCTTTTTGTATCACTTCTGTTTTCACTTGGTCAACTCTCTGTTCTGTTATCTCTCACTTCCAAAAGCAGGCGATAATGTTACCGTCTGTCTGCGCTTGTGTGTTTGTTTGTCTGGCATGTTAGCAAAATATTTCATGAACAAACCCACCATCCAATCATTGGATGGACAAATACAACAGATTATTTTAAAGTTCATCCTAATTTTAGACAACCATCAGAGATATTCAAGATTAGCAAAAAAACAAAAAAGATTATAACTCAACTATTTTTACAAATACTGAGCTAACATTTGTAGTAATTGTAGGGTGCATTCACACCCGCCCTGTTTAGTCCGCTTTAATTGAACTCTGGTCCGTTTGCCTAGAAAGTCCGGTCCATTTGAGGAGGTGTGAATGCACAATCGAACTCTGATATGGACCAAAAAAGAGAACGCTGGTCCGCCTAGGTTGTTTTCACACCTGATAGTCCGATAGACTCGGTTCAGTTGGGGACCAATATTCATGACCTTTTGTTTACATTTGAGCTGGTGCGTTTGCATTCACACTGCACTGTGCAGTCGAGCCAACCTGTTCGAACCAACCTGTTCCCCCACTCGCCTGTGGTGGCGCTGCAAGAACTACTGAAAGAAACAACACAAAATCCTCTGAAGAAGACACTTCTTCTTCTTCTTCTTCTTCTTCTGGAAATAAAAACAAAAACGGAGTGGCATCAAGTTTTAGCAGTTTTAGGAGTTATATTTCGTCATTTTTCAACAATGGACTCAGCATGAGTGGAAGATGAGGCAGAAGACCATGGAGAATATTGTTTTTCACACAAGGCAGCTGACAGCTCCATATGAGGTAAGAGAAATATGTGTTTGTTTGCCCCGCGTTGTTGTAGTCCTCTTCCTGCTTACGGAGCGGGGCCCGTTCTGCTTAAATTCACACTGTACTTGAACCACGCTCAAGTTTTCTTCTATCGGACCAAGACCTAGGTTTTAGCCCAGGCCAGCGTTCGCCTTTTTGTTCCGTGACAGAGTTCGATGGTGAGTTCACACCTCCCCAAACAAACTGGACTTCCTAGGAAAACGGGCTAGAGTTCGGGACAACAGGGCTGGTGTGAATGAACCCTTAAAAACCTAGGTCTAGGTCCAGTTGAAGT